CAGAGTCACTCTGGGGTGAAGCACTTAAAACAACAGCTTACATTCTAAACAGAGTACCAAGTAAAGAAGTTGCTAAATCACCTTATGAGCTTTGGACTGGTCAAAAGCCCAGTTTAAAGCACCTATATATATTTAGGGATGTCCAGTTGAGACAATGCCTTATAGGCAAAATGAAAAGAAATTGAACTCCAAAATAGTTAGCAGCTACTTTATTGGGTACTCTGAACGCTTGATGCGGCATAAACATGTACCAAAAATATTCTAAGTGCACAACCGTGTCAAGTTACAGTATAAAGATATCGATCCCACGAGGAAGGTGTTTTGTAGGAGAAAATATAAAATCGGTTCTTATGTTATGTATGTGACAAATAGGAGTGATGAGTGAATGTGATTGTGGAGAGATGGAGAGAATGAAAATGATTGTGTAAATGAATAAATTTGAGAGTGGAAGTGATAATATAAATGTGATCAACAAGGCAAGAAGAAAAAATCAAGAACAAATAAAAATCAAGAATGAAAAATAAAATTCAAGAAAGTAAAGACGGTGAATTCAATTAAAGATATGGGCAATCTAAAATTGAACCCACTTCTTAGAAAATGGTGATTCCCTAGAGGGTTCTAGACTAAAGGCGAATCAAAAAAAATAAAAATAAACAAAAAAAAACTAAATCCAAGAGGGTTCTAGCCTCAAGGTGAATAGTATAAAAAATTAAAATCTAACTATAAAATAAATTACAAAATCTAAACTACAAAATAAATTATAAGAATTAAATATACGAAAATAAATCTAATCTATAAGCATGAAATAAATCTAAGGTAAGAGGGTTCTAGCCTCTTGGCTATTTAACAAGAAAATAAAATCTAACTACAAGCATAGAAATAAATCTAAACTAATAAGTAATAAAAAAGAAATAAAAGAGAAAAGGAAATACAAACCTCCAAATAATTCTTCATCTCCATCTTCATCATCCAACAAAAAGAAGAAATATTTAAAGTGGTGAAAATTTTATTTTATTAATTATAACAAAAGTTACAAATTTGGAAGGCCTTCTCAATTAAGGGTGACTCTCCTCTCCAAATGGAGTTATAAAAATTTTTACACCTCTAACCCCTTACTCTCTACCCCTATTTATAGTAAACATCAATGAATGAGAGCCCTTGGATTGAATCCTTATTCAAAACCATCAAAAATCAGTCATTGATCTGTAACTGATTCGTAGCCATCGATACCAGCATCGATGCTGGCATCGATGCCGGTATCAATGCCAGCATCGATGTTGACATCAATGTCCAATCAAAAATCTACCTACACAGATGGCTTCGTCTCGTCGAGATAGACGATTTTCATATATTATATGTTAAATTCCGCCTTCCGGATTGAGAAATATCGTCGATTCTTTGCGACCAACCATCTTGAATATATTTTGTTTTCATATTTGATTTTTTTTATTTTCTCCGGCTTCTATACAAGCTACTCGGTTTGATTCTGTGCTTGGGATTTTTGGCTCTTGCTTGTGTTCTTCATGTAATTCATGAGCTTTTGTTAAGAGATGAGATTTTTGGGCTTTATTCTTCATTAACCTACAATTAAAGATAAAAATAATTATTAGTGATATATTTATTTATTAAAAATAGATAATGAGGTATAAAATTGTAATAGAATATGATTATCAACGCTCTAGGGGCTATAAGTTTTATGATCCCACACTACGAAATATTTTTAAGATGGGGACAGCAACATTCTTTGAGGATGTTGAGTTTAGGGGGAGAAATAAGGTTAGAGACATTGCTTTTGAGGAGGAATTGGCTTCAGACCCAATCCATATAGTTACCTTTGATAATATTCAGGTTCCTATACCTGTTATTACTCAAGAAGTAAATCCAGAACCTTAAGATGATAATGTTGAATAACTCTCTGTTCCAGAAGAACAAACTCAACAAGCTCAAGAACCAGTGCCATTAAGGAGATCCATGAGAGAAAGGAGAAATGCTATTCCGGATGATTATATTGTATTTCTCTAAGAACATGAGGAAAATAATGGAATATTAGAAGATGATCCAATCAACTTTCTCCAGGCCATGAAAAATTCTAACTCTTAATAATGGATTGATGCCATGAATGAAGAGTACAAGTCTATGCAAGACAATAAGGTTTGGGAACTTGTCCCATTGCCAGAATGTGCAAAGCCAATTGGTTGTAAATGGATTTTTAAAACCAAGCGGGATGTAAATAGTAATGTGGAGAGGTATAAGGCACGTCTTGTAGCTAAAGGCTTTACTCAAAATGAAGGCATTGATTATACAGAGACTTTCTCTCCGGTTTCATCGAAAGACTCTTTTAGAATAATCATGGTACTTGTTGCTCGTTTTGATCTTGAGTTACATCAGATGGATGTTAAGATTGCATTTCTCAATGGCGATATTGATGAGATAATTTATATGGTGCAACCAGAAAACTTTGTGTCAGGAGACCCGAAGAATATGGTTTGCAAATTAAGAAAATCCATCTATGGACTCAAGCAAGCTCCTCGTCAATGGTATTACAAGTTTTAACAAATAATTATCTCGTTCAGTTTTGAGATAAACATTGTTGATGACTGTGTATATCACAAATTCAATGGGAGTAAGTTTATTTTCATGGTTCTGTATGTTGATGATATATTATTTGCCACTAATGATATAGGCATGTCGCACGAAACCAAGAGATTTTTATCAAAGAATTTTGAGATGAAAGATCTTGGGGATGCCTCTTTTATAGTAGGAATCCAGATACATCGAGATCGTTCTAGAGGTATACTTGAATTATCACAAAAGAGCTATATCGATAAAGTACTTAAAAGGTTTGGCATGCAAGACTGCAGACCAGGAGACACCCCTATTGCTAAACGAGACAAGTTTAGTCTCAATCAATGCCCTAAAGGCAATCTTAAAATTCAAGAAATGCAGAAGATTCCTTATGCTTCGGCTGTAGGAAGTCTAATGTATGCTCAGGTGTGTACGCGTCCGGATATTATGTACATTATTGGGATGTTAGGCAGATACTTAAGCAACACTGGTATGAATCATTGGATAGCAATCAAAAGGGTTTTGAGATATCTTAAGAAAACAAAAGATTATATGCTCACATATAGAAAACCAGATCAGCTGGAGGTCATTGGTTACTCTGATTCTGATTTTGTTAGATGCCAAGATAGCAGAAAGTCTATATCAGGCTACATTTATATGTTAGCAGGAAGAACAATATCATGGAAAAGTGTCAAACAGACACTTGTAGCTTCATTCATTATGACAGCAGAGTTTGTAGCTTGCTATGAGGCATCTAATTATGGAATATGGTTGCAAAATTTTATCATTGGACTGCGCATTCTGGATAAAATTAAAAGACCACTTAAGTTATTTTGTGATAATAAATCAACAGTAATGTATTCTAGTAACAACAGGAACTCGACTAAGTCAAAACATATTGACATTAAGTTCCTGGTTGTGAAAGAAAGGGTATAGAGTAGACAGTTATCCATAGAGCATATTGGGACAAACTCCATGATAGCAGATCCTCTTACTAAAGGGTTGCCACCTAAAGTCTTTCATGAGCACACTGCTTGTATGAGTGTGGTATTATTCGAGGATATCATGATTTAGTGGGAGTTTGTAATTTTCTGGTGCTTTGTGTTTGGTTGTATTGTCTGATCAGAATAAAATATTCAGTTAAGACACTCTGTTTCATTATGTTTGGTTTTGACCTCACTAAAGTTTAAGGTAGGACTAGTTAAAAATAGACATGTACTGATCACATTGCATGTAATTTTCATAATGCATATCCATAATTGATCTATGTCATTTGATTGTATTGGTATATGTGACCTTTGATGGGTTTAGTCATTATAAATGTGACGAAGGCCGCTTTGATCCTATATTGATATTGTTAATGGATGAGATTGTTCGGAAATACCCTTATTTGTGATAGCAATTTATGAGCTCATAAGGTTGTACACGTTTTAATGAAACATATAGTGCCCAAGTGAGAGATTGTTGGATTAAATCTAATTATGAGCATATATGTTACATTGGTGTATAATGTTATCTTTAAGGCTAACCCACGTAAAGTGATCAATCAATTTGGGTTAATAGATATTTAAATAAATCATGGGCTAAATGTGCAGATACCGGGTTGTAATTATAATTTAATTAGGGGCCAAATTATAAAAGTATAATAACTATAAATAAGGGGTTATAGTCCCTAATCTAGGGTTACATTCTCTAATTCTCTTCACCCCCATCTAGAGAGAAATTTGGCTAGAGAGACCCTCAAGATTAGAAGGTCATCAAAACCCTAATTCAGATCCAAGTAATGGATTCAGGTATTGCTTCCGCGTTCTTGTGTTTAATCTCCATGAATTAATCACGAATTAAACTTAATATGCTTAAGGTTTGTAAAACCAACTCCCATTCCAACTAGGATTTTATGTCGAAAACATCGAAACTACAGCAAAGGTCTGATCTTTCGTTAAAAGACTAACCATAGATAATGTCAGAAACGTGGAACTATAGATCAATTCCTAACATTATATCAACTGTGAGTTTTTTAATCAGTCCGGATTGTTAGTTTGAGTTCTAGTTAGTAGATAGAATTCTAGTTAGAATAGAATACTAGTTAGTAGATAGTTTTCTAGTTATTGGATAAGAATTGGAGTTGTAATATTATCTATATATACATGTAATACTCTTCATGAAAGTAGAACGTGAATAAATCTTTTGAGAGGTACCTGCTCCTTCTCTGTTCGTGTTCATCATCAGAAACAGAGGGTTTTTTAGAGAAGAAAATTCCTGCAGAAAACGTCCCCTGTTCTTGCTGTTTGTTCTCCCTAAAATCAGCCTACAAATCTTTGGTTACAGGTTTCTTCTAACTCAGTTTCAGGTCTGATCTCTGGCCGATCCTGTTCAGAAGCCAACAAGTGGTATCAGAGCCGTGTATGCCTAAGATTCAACCAAGATCTGAAGCGATGACGAGTTCGGAGAAGATGACGACCAAGGTGGGTTCTCTCACTCTTCAATACCTGACGCTATCGAGGGATAACTATGCTTCGTGGGCAATCAAGATGAAAGTCTACATGAAGGCTCAAGACGTATGGGACGCCATTGAGCCCGCGGTAGGCGCGTTCGTGGAACACAGGAAGGATCAGATGGCGCTGGCGGCCATCTATCAAGGGATTCCTGAAGAGACTTTGATGATGATTGCAGAAAAGCAAACGGCAAAAGAGGCATGGGAGACGTTGAAAACAATGCACCTAGGAGCGGATCGTGTGAGGAACGCGAAGGTGCAGACCTTGAAGTCCGAGTTCGAACTTCTCCGGATAAAGGAGAATGACAACGTCGACGATTTTTCGACGAAGTTGACAGGAGTCGTCAACAAGATCCGGGCTTTAGGCGGCGAGATGGAGGAGAACTACGTCGTTAGAAAGCTACTTCGGGCGGTACCGGAGAGATTCCTTAAACAAGTGGTATCAGAGCCGTGTATGCCTAAGATTCAACCAAGATCTGAAGCGATGACGAGTTCGGAGAAGATGACGACCAAGGTGGGTTCTCTCACTCTTCAATACCCGACGCTATCGAGGGATAACTATGCTTTGTGGGCAATAAAGATGAAAGTCTACATGAAAGCTCAAGACGTGTGGGACGCCATTGAGCCCGCGGCAGGCGCGTCCGTAGAACACAGGAAGGATCAGATGGCGCTGGCGGCCATCTATCAAGGGATTCCTGAAGAGACTTTGATGATGATTGCAGAAAAGCAAACGGCAAAAGAGGCATGGGAGACGTTGAAAACAATGCACCTAGGAGCGGATCGTGTGAGGAACGCGAAGGTGCAGACCTTGAAGTCCGAGTTCGAACTTCTCCGGATGAAGGAGAATGATAACGTCGACGATTTTTTGACGAAGTTGACAGGAGTCGTCAACAAGATCCGGGCTTTAGGCGGCGAGATGGAGGAGAACTACGTCGTCAGAAAGCTACTTCGGGCGGTACCGGAGAGATTCCTTACTATCGTCTCCACGATTGAACAGTTCGGGGACATCGACGACATGACACTCGAGGAGGCGATCGGGCGCCTCAAAGCCCACGAGGAGAGGGCACGTGTTTTTCGAAACAACGTCGACGATCACCTATTGTTGACGCATGCGGAGTGGCAAGCAAGGAGCAAGAAGAACGGCGGAGGCTTCCTCTCAACACCTACAACCAATGATGGCAGCGGTCGAGGACGAGGTCGCGGGGCCGGTCGTGGGCGTGGCCGTGGCCAAAGAGGCCGAGGCGGACAGCAGTACCACGGCAGCGGACAGCAGTACCACGGAGGCCGCGGAGGGGAGCACGGCGGCCAGGCAGGCCGAGGCGGCTTCGGCGGCAGAGGAGGACGTCCAGGAGGTGGTTTCGGCCATGGAGGTGCAGCTCGCCAGGAGGGGGAGAGTAGCACAAGCGGTGGTCGAGACAAATCCAACATCAAATGCTTCAATTGCGGAGTATACGGGCACTTTCAGTCGGAGTGTCACAAGCAACGCCGCAACCATGAACAGGAGGCTCATCTCACCCGTGCATATGACGAGGAGCCAACCTTGATGATGGCTATGTTAGAGGAATCGTCAAGTGCTATTTTGCTTAATGAGGAGAAGGTGGTGCCGGATTTACTTACAGCGGGGGAGGCACAAGTTGCCAACGACGTTTGGTACCTTGACAACGGAGCTAGCAATCACATGACCGGCCACCGAGACAAGTTCAAGGAGCTCGACGAGAACATCAAGGGAACCGTCAAGTTTGGTGATGGATCCGCGGTAGAGATCAAGGGGAAAGGCTCAATCCTCTTTCAGTGCAACAACGGCGATCAAAGGCTACTACCTGAGGTATATTATATTCCAAGTTTGAAATCTAACATTATTAGCCTTGGTCAGATGACTGAAGATGGAAGCAACGTTGTGATTTCTGGTGAGTTCCTGAGGGTGTTTGATAGGAACGGTGCTCTCTTGATGAGGGTGACACGTTCAACTAACCGATTGTACAGGATAGAGTTAAAGACTTGCAAGCCGGCGTGTTTGATGGCGAACATTAACGATCCAGCTTGGTTATGGCATGCTCGCCTTGGGCATGTCAATTTCTTCGCCCTCAAGATGATGACTGATAAGAGGATGGCTTCCGGGTTGCCGAAGATCTTGCACCCGAATCAACTATGCGAAGGATGCCTAGTCGCCAAGCAAGCAAGACTGCTGTTCCCTTCGCAGGCAAATTTTAGAGCTCAGAAGCCACTGGAGTTACTACATGCTGACCTATGTGGTCCAATCTCCCCATCTACACTTGCGGGTAACAGATACTTCCTTCTTGTTGTTGATGATTTCAGCCGATGGATGTGGGTATATATGTTGAAGGCCAAGAGTCAAGCTTGTGAAACCTTCAAGAAGTTCAAAACAGAGGTTGAGAACGCATGTGACCACAAGGTGAAGACATTGAGGACGGATCGTGGTGGCGAGTTCTTGTCAAAGGAGTTCACCAAGTTTTGTGAAGACTACGGCATAAAGCGTCATCTCACTGCACCGTACACCCCGCAGCAAAACGGTGTAGTGGAGAGGCGAAACCGCACGGTGATGGCCATGGAGAGAAGCTTACTTAAAAGCATGCATATGCCCGGAACGATGTGGGGCGAAGCGGTTAGACACGCGGTGTACATACTCAACCGACTACCAACCAAGGCATTGCACGACCACACACCCTACGAAGCTTGGTTTGGTAAGAAACCCCACCTAGAACACTTGAGAGTTTTCGGATGTGTGGCGCATGTGAAAATTGCAGGTCCTTCACACAAGAAACTCGACGACCGGAGCACACCAATGGTGTATATTGAGGTAGAAGAAGGAAGCAAAGCGCATCGCCTTTACGACCCTCAACACAGCAGAATTCATGTCAGCAGAGATGTCGTGTTCGAGGAAGGAAAAGAGTGGGAATGGATCGCCGATGGAGTCGAAAGATCACCCAACTGGGTGGTGTTCACAGCGGAAGGGGAGACTGCAGCAACCGGCACAACAGCTGGCGCATTTCCAGCAGTCCAAATTGGACAGCAAGCAGACCGAACCGCTGCAGCAGTCCCTGGACAACCTGATGGCCGAAACAAGCTGCCAGCAGCCGGCAGCAGTTCCTGGACAACCTGCAGGCCGAACCAGTCCGCATACACCCGCTGGTGCAGCAGGCCGAACCAGTCCGCAACTTCCTGCTGGTCCAGAAACTGCTGCAGAGGCAGCAAACCCCACTGTCTTGGACGCGTTCGGACCCCCTGAAGCTGTAGTGATGACTCCTGTACGCTATCGATCCCTTGCGGACATCTATGCGGAGACGGAGGTGATTGATCTCCCTGCAGAGGAGTTGTTCTTGATCACTGAAGAACCCGCGAGCTACATTGAGGCTGCAACAGATCAAGAATGGCGGACAGCCATGGAGAAGGAATTGGAGGCCATCGAGAAGAATAAGACTTGAGTACTCATGGAGTTACCGCGGGGTTCCAAACCCATTGGTCTCAAATGGGTGTACAAGCTGAAGAAGGACAATGAAGGCAACATTCTCAAGCACAAAGCAAGACTTGTAGCAAAAGGGTACGTCTAGCAGCAAGGCGTGGACTTTGATGAGGTGTTTGCACCTGTGGCGAGGCTTGATACCATCAGAATAATCCTCGCCATATCAGCACAGAATGGGTGGGAGGTGCACCATCTGGATGTGAAGTCGGCATTCACCTGAAGGGTTCGTTGTGAAGAATCAGGAGCACAAGGTCTACAAACTTTCAAAGGCACTCTACGGTCTACGCCAAGCACCTCGGGCGTGGAACACACGGCTTGATAAGTGTTTGAAGGGCATCGGATTTGCAAGATGTACTCAGGAGCAGGCGGTATACACCAGGAGTAACAGAGGGGATACACTCATTGTTAGCGTGTACGTGGATGACTTGATCGTTACGGGCTCGAGAGTGGATGAGATAAAGTTTTTCAAGCAACAGATGATGAAGGAGTTCGAGATGAGTGACCTTGGATTGCTTTCCTATTATCTTGGTATCGAGATGGATCAGCGAGATGATTGCATTGCACTAAGGCAGGCGGCCTATGCGAAGAAGGTTTTGGGTCAGTTCGGCATGATGGATTGCAACTCGACTCAATATCCCATGGAAGCAAAGCTAAAGCTTGGAAAGGATTCTGAAGGAACACCAGTGGACGTGACGGAGTATAGACGCATTATCGGATCTTTGAGGTATCTAACTCACACCCGACCCGATATCACATATGCCGTGGGGATTGTGAGTAGGTACATAGAGCACCCTACAGTTTTGCATCGACAGGTTGTCAAGCATATTTTGAGGTACGTGAAGGGTACTATATCCTACGGATTGGTGTACAAACGAGGTCGAGGCAATGAAGAGTTGGTGGGATTCCGGAGTATAGACGCATTATCGGATGTTTGAGGTATCTAACTCACACCCGACCCGATATCACATATGCCGTGGGGATTGTGAGTAGGTACATGGAGCACCCTACAGTTTTGCATAGACAGGTTGTCAAGCATATTTTGAGGTACGTGAAGGGTACTATATCCTACGGATTGGTGTATAAACGAGGTCGAGGCAATGAAGAGTTGGTGGGATTCACTGACAGTGATCTTGAGGGAGATATTGATGACAAGCACAGTACAGGCGGCATGGCTTTTTATCTAGGTGACAGCTTGGTCACTTGGACATCACAGAAGCAGAAGACAGTGGCATTATCATCCTGCGAGGCAGAATTTATGGCGGCAACTGCAGCAGCGTGCCAAGGCTTGTGGTTGAGGAGTTTGATTAGCGAATTGATTGGGTGTGAGCCCAAGCCGGTTACACTTTATGTCGACAACAAGTCCGCGATTGCCTTGATGAAAAATCCAGTTTTCCATGGAAGAAGCAAGCATATCGACACACGTTTTCACTTCATTCGTGAGTGTGTTGAGCGAGAACAGATTAAAGTGGAGTTCGTGAGCACGAGCGAGCAGCGAGCGGATATTCTCACGAAGGCACTAGCAAGGGTGAAGTTCATCGAGATGCGAGAACTGCTAGGAGTAAGGGACTTGGAATCTCGTCCAGATTAAGGGGGAGAATGTGAGTTGTTAATCAGTCCGGATTGGGTAGTTTGCATCCTAGTTAGTAGATAGAATTCTAGTTAGAATAGAATACTAGTTAGTAGAGAGTTTTCTAGTTATTGGATAAAGATTAGAGTTGTAATCTTATCCCTAAGTGTGTATATATATGTAAACAGGTCTTTGTATTTAGTAGAACGAAAATAAGAAAAAGAAAACTCCTCCACCGAATCCCTCTCTCTCCTTCTCTCTGTTGTGTTCATCATCCAGAAACAGAGGGTTTTTTAGAGAAGAAAATTCCTGCAGAAAACGTCCCATGTTCTTGCTTCTGTTCTCCCTAAAATCAGCCCTACAAATTTTGGATTACAGAGGTTTCTTCTAACTCAGTTCAGGTCTGAATCTCTGGCGATCCTGTTCAGAAGCCAAACATCAACAAACTCTCATTATGTCTCCATGTCTTACCGAAACTATTAATATATAAGATATATATATATATATATATAATATATAATATATATATTATATATATATATTATATATATATATAATATAATATATATTATATATATATATATAATATATATTATGATGTATGAAACCGAGGCGCACATATGGACAAATAACATGAACTTGGAAGACCAGAAATTAATTAACCACTACATTATTCCTTTTACGTAAAATGCGAAAGTTAAGAAATAAAGACGCGAAGAAAGAGCAAGTGCAGTTGCTTGCCTGTGGTCGCGATTACCAACGTGATGATATGGATAGAAGCGAAGAGATCCATCTGCGAAAGTTGTTTCGCTCTCTTTGCTTGACAATCGCCCTAGGTGACAGAGGATGATGGAGACTATCAACCCCACCCCCCCCTCTAATTAATTTCTCTCTCTCTTCTCTCTCATTTTTTGTCTTTGGAGTTTGGAACGTGGGAAGGAACAGCGGCAGAGATAAACACGTGAAGAGCTTGGGCGGACTTAGGGTTTTATTGCATATGTTTAATTGCAAATGGACTTATTTATACAGTCAGCCAACAAAACATATGGGCCGCATATGAATTAGAGGTTGACCTCTAACCGGAGTCCAACTCCCAATTCGTTTTGGTTAGGCGCATAGTGGGTGAGACTTGAGCGCCAGGATTTGAATTGGTTGCACGTTGCCCGTGCTCTTGGCTGCTAACGCGGAAGGAATCATGTGGAGAGATACATATGCTTTGCACATAATAAAAGTAGATAAGCTAAATGAGTTTAGGGCCTCAATTGCAAATATGGAAAGGTAAAGGGCCTTTGGACTGCTCAAAAGAGAAGACCTGCATTCATTTGTACATACACATAAATATATTCCTCTCCACTCATTGAAATCGGGGCACACATTTACATGAGTTGTGACTTGTGAGTGGTTAGGAATTAGAATGAATAGATAAGAATAGGACACCTCATACCAAGCACAAATTTTATGTTTGGTAACAAGCATACTCATTTTTCTTATATATATATACACACACACACTTTAAATTAGTTTTAAACATATAATAGAACATGTATTTCTTAAATCCTCTCTCTCGATATTGCTGCTGCAAGAGCATATTCGAGACATGAAAGGTGGAGAATGTTTTTTCTAACATATTGTCATTAGTGATATTTTCTCCACACAATTGTAATTAAGAAATAATTTTATACATTACAGAATTATACTCACTGATTGATTTAAAATCTTGTAACCTTAAGTGAAGCCAGTCATACCGGGCTTTTGGGAGCACGACCGACTTCAGGTGGTCAAATCTCTCCTTCAAATCATTCCACATAGTAAGTGGATCTTTCACAATTAGATATTTAGTTTTTAATCATTCATCCAAATGATGACGAAGGAAAATCATAGCTTTGACACAATCTTGATTTGATGTCTCATTTTCTTCCACAATAGTATTTTCAAGACCCATTGCAGCAAGATGTATTTCAATATCTAACATTCAAGATAAGTAGTTCTTTCCAGAAATATCAAGAGGCATAAACTCTTGTTTTGTAAGGTTAGTCATAGTGAAAAATGAATTAAATTGGAAAGAGAAATTTTACCTCAAAGGTTTACCCAAAATATGAACATGTGTCCAACGATGAATCTAATGGACTTGAAATGGATTGTTTCAATGGTAGAGTCTCGTGCTGATAACGTATTGTAAAACTAATAAAGTAGAGAAGAGAAAGTAGACAAGAAGTAGAAAGAACTTTATTTCCTCATTTTCTCCTTACAAATTGAGGTAGGAATATCTCTATTCATATACAAACTAAGATGATGATACATGAACCATATTAATTACTCATAGAGAATATTAAGGGGTAATACATGTATCAATCTCTTTGGGAAACTAAATGGATATCCACATCATTTAATTGTTTCATAACAACCAAATTTTGTTAAATTTTCAAGGGTTATTTTCATTTTGGTATCACAACTTATACTCATTTTCAACTCTGATACCTACTACTTTTTTTAAATTTGATACCACAAAATTCCAATTCCATTTCACTTTATATCTTATGTTAGTCTTTTGTTAGAGTTTATGTTAAGTAACTGAAAGACTATACAACCATTGTTTAATTTACAAAATAACAAGGGGCGGCTTAGTAGGTTACATGGCAAAATCATATCACTTCCTAGCGGAGGGGTTTAGGTTTGATTCCCGTGTGCGCAAAAAGAGCGATTAAAAAGTTATAGGATCACAAGATAGGAATAATAAGAACTCTATAACGTGATAATTTTCATTTTAATTTATT